TATTCAATGGTGTTGAAACATCTCGATAATGGCAATTCGAATATGTGTGGAAACGCAGTACTCTGGATGCGTTGATTGGAGTCACCCACACAATTACGAGAAACTCCGACGAAGGCCATGCGTTAGTATGGGATGGCTCTCTGGACTGCAGCTGAGCCTATAACACGTTTCTAAGACTTCAGCTATTCACAGTGTTGGTCATCGTAGGTGCAGAATCTCACCTTGTCAACCTGCTGGCCAAATATTACTCGAGTTTCCAACAGTTTGTTCCGGTCAGCGAAAAGAATCCTATTATCCGTCTTACGACGTGAGGAATCTTCACTGTTCCTCTTATACACATCGCAATGTCATGCATCTGAAGCTACCACTACGTGAGTCAAATACTCTGACGATATTGCTCTATTGGTTTCAGTACAGATCTGAATTACTGTATTTTTTCATATACATTCAAGAGGTAGGGTAATGGATGAGAGATAGTGGCCTAACACTTAATCCTAATCATTCTCTGGGTTGTAATTTCCATCGTGCAAGGTGTATAAGCAGAGACAGAGCAGAGTGCGGAACCTGCTTTACCAACTGCGCAGTTCTACAACAACTTCTGGGGGACGAAACTCCGTAATAAAATACTTAGAGTTGATTTTACATGAAAGCTTCGGGTGGGAACAATAGTTGATGGAGTGCAGCGACTAGCTTCAGTACTGGGCAGAGAGAGGAAGTTGTGTGTTGGTTCAGAAGTACCGAAAGGCTAACCAAATCCTCCATTCTACGACCTTTTCATTGCGCTGCACCGGTCTCCTTCTGCAGTCTCCGAATAAAACAACTGGCTCCCATCCAGAGCCTTTTGAAATCACCTGATCGACTCTGTAACCGAGCAGCTGGCCATCCAAACAGATGCTTGATATATTCAAGAGTTACTCTGGGCGATTCTATTCTAACCGACCCAACCCACCCACTGTACAAATGTTTTCAACCGTGCATTTCGAAGCGACCAAGCATATGCTCTATGTAAGTTCTATGTTGGTGCCACACTGAAGCCTTCCGAATGTCATTCGTTCCCTTCGCTGACGAATGTTTGATCGATCACAGGAGAAAATCTGTAGTTTTGGATCAAACGTAGATCTCACTTTCAGTGCGATTGTTTTCTATATGTTAGACCCAGGATTTTGGCAAGTTTTCATGTATCTTAGGGATCATTTAAATAAATTTCAGTGACTGATTATTTCAGAAATGGGATTACTCAATCGGTAGAAAGTCAACGAGGTACGGTATCCGAGCACTTGTAAGTGTCACTCGCCATTTTTCCTTATGAGATTGATAGTCCTGAGTACCACTCTGTGAGAAGAAAACAGAAGACTACACATGATAGCCACATGGCTGTTTTGACTCAGCCTTTAAAATTAAAGCATTCAGACTGATGGAATAGAAATGGAGATCAGTGCCTCACTGTTAAAATCTTGAGAAGAAGGGCATCCGAATGACTTCATCATGTTCTTTACTTTTCATTACACCGACCAAATATACCAAACCAAAAATAGGAACGCTATATTAAATAATAATAAGGAGTGATGCAACTTGGAAAATGGGGTAAAATGCACTCCGTTAAGTGACTGATTAACCGCTTCAGCACGGAATTAAAAGCGTAGGGCACCTTTCACTTTATTGCTTGAAGCTAGCCTACGTAGTTGCTCCATCGTTAGTTAGATGAACAGACTGTAAATGCCAAACAGACAGATATGATCAAGAAGAAAAAGCAGTAGGGCATCAATCTAAAAATTTTGAGCATTAAAAATGGATCAGAATATTTTACAAGAAAGCCACAGACGTGCCAGTTCCAATCCTTCCTAATTAAAGCACGGAAGTGATTACAGCAGAGTTTTAACATGTCAGTGCTCCACTGTTCTTAATGTGAACCTCAACTATAGTTTCAGAAAGAAAAACGGTATGAAGTGAACCGATCACAAGTGCCATTATGTAGATTAATTAGCATATTTAGTCGGTCATCAAATCTCGGGCAACAGTGTCAGACAACATCGCTAACATTAATATTCTCGTGTCATTCGACAGGAGGTACACTGAATCTGAAGCAAAATTTATTTGTCTTTGCTCAGAGACAGTTTTAGCTTCATCGAGATCTTGTGCTCGTTGTTTGAGCAAGCAATACATGTTCACTGATCCTCTTCAGTGAAATTTTTTGGAAATAGCCAATTACCATAGTTACGACCATAGTAATAAAATCATATGCTAGTGTCGATTCTGAGTTGTATCAAATATGAATAAGATTAAGACAGTTCGATCGTGTAGTAAACTGATTCCAAAGTGCCTGTAAAACCATCTTCGGAACTTAAGAAATGCTTAGATCAGAAGAGCGAACGATTTTGATACAATCAGTGACTCTCTAAACCAACGATGATTGATGTCGTAAACGTTCGAGTTAGCGCCATTGAAGACAAAACGACAAACCAGTGCAGCGCTACCTACTAACGAGGCGAAACTCAATACTGCTGCTGGCTGCTGAATATGCCTCGCATTATTTATTGATCAGTAAATGTACAACCACTGTTTGGTTGAAGTAAGATCCCGCTTTAGCGATTCATTCGTCGCCGTCGCACTCAAGTGCTATGTTGCTCAGGCGGAATTCATTACCTCAAGAGAAGATCGTTTTGCCATCGCCAATCTTCCGCCCACGCCATCTCATCTGCTAAGTAAATACTTTGTGGTGTCTAAGAAAATGTTTGAACCTATTATTGCGAAACAGAATTTTTAGCCTGAGCATTTATATGCCCTTTGCAAATTTTCCTGATCAAGTAAGATTAATCTTAGCATTGCCGCTGCCGTTTTCCCTTTGTAATTGATTATGTATAATCTGCTAAATTGCGTAGAATATTTTAACTCCCCTAATGTTAAATTCGTCTGTAATCATTGGATTTCCTCGAGGAGGTTGTCCTTGCTATTTTGTCACACCCGTCAAAGTATTTTTCACTTGAATTTAGTTTCTTCAAATAATATGAAATGCATGTATGTGCGTTTCAGCTGCGCTTGCTTAAGTGAGCCTTTGGCGGGAGACAAGAAGTGCATGAGTGACATGACTCACGACTATCTCATCTGGTTACGTAGTCTGGCTGATTCAGTATTGACATAAATGATTTTTAGAGCTTGATAGTGATTCCTACTGTGACTGAAACCCGTTCAGTCGCCTCATTAGACTACTTTGTTAATCATTGAGGAATCTGTCCGTTGTTAGCATTTTTATTTGACCACTGGCAGTGTTCTCGGCGCAACTCCGTCTATCATAGAGTTTGCTATAAACCAGCTCGATTACCCAGCACGGTTGATTCGTTTGGTTGCGAATTAAAGTTGAGCTTTTCATATAATGTTGTTCAGCAGTTGACAACTTACTTTTAATATGTTGAGATGAACAGCTTTTTCGTAGCGCAGTATTTTCTGATTCAGCTTGCAAAGTGGTCAAAATCGTAAAGCCGGGTAAATGCCGAGGACACCTATGGATAGATCTCAGCTCAGCTTTGGATGTCATATCTGAAAATCAAACAGTCCTACAATCAAATGTAACTAAACTTTAAAAATTCTCATTAATTCTGTCACAGGAACAGCGATACGCAGGGGTAATGAGCATAAACAGTAATTATGAATGACTGATAAACAGCGGATTGATAATCAGTCCAAAAAGGATGCCCCATGACCAATATCAATCAGTTTACCTGAAAAATAGCAGACCAGTAAAGTTTAAAGTTATTATGGAAGCTGAAGAGCAGAACATAGCTGCAAACGAGCTCATCTAGTGTAACCTTGCAATCCTGAAATTATGTAGCCAAAACTGTGTAAGGATCCTAAATTTTGTTCTGGCTGTTGAAATTTGCAATACTGCATTTTAGTACCAGAAGATTCAACGCTGCCCCCCCCCCATTAGTTACTTACATCGGTTAAATGGTCTGTATTGGCGTTTAGAGAAGAAACCAAGTCACCCTACGTTAAATGTCTTACTGATGTCGCACAGTAACAAAATCGATTTGAATCAAATCAATGCACGGATCATAATCCTCACTCGACCAATCCAGAATAACAGTTACAGTGACATGCTGCATGTCACAAGTTTCGAAAAAGCTCGAATTCATAAGGTAAATGCAAAATGGTGAATACGACCCCATTCCTCTACTGAATTTCTACAGAATCAGATGATCAAAAGGAAACAAGTTGCACTGAACATACCTAATCCCAATTTGTGACAATTAGCAGCCTGTTTGATATCAGCAAAAGACTATCATTTTGGTAGAGCAACTTTAAAAGCCTTTCAGCTAATGCATTTTCTGTTCTGAAGATAGGTGGCAAACCTTTCGAAATGAATATATGGTTACTTATTGAAATATGATGCTATGTTATAGAAACGTTATTGCTACAGCACTGAAACAATGCGACGGAACACACATTTTGAGTGGTGCGCTGCAAACGTACGCACGAGCCCGCTACTACTATTGGCATTGCTGTGCCACGCAACGTGCTCAATGAACTTCGTTGACTATGCCAACCAGAAAGTGGCCACTTGCGCTAATGATTCTACAATAATCAACATTTTGCTGAACGAAGACATTTATAATAAATATAAATTACCTGATCCAGCTGGAGTCACGGTGTGGGTGGAGTTCTGGGTTCAGGAGATCAGTACCGTATCCGAACTGACTTCAGATTTTGAAATGG